GTATTATATAAAATCAAATGGAAATATCTCTCAGGAGAAAAAGATCAGCAACCGAACAACAAAGACGGCGACAACGACGCTTATTCCAGGGCCAAGTTAAAGCAAGATGAATACTTAAGACAAAGATACCTAAATACCTCGCATGAAAGACTTGAACAAATAAGACTGCAATCTAAAGAACGTAAGAGTAAAGCGAATAATTAATTAAACGGTCTATTCTGCTCGCGAAATAATTATGTCTAAATGCAGATAAATATTTTATTTATGAGCTTTTTTTCCTAGTGTCTCGACTTCATGAATTAAAGGCTGGTACTAAATTGGCAACTAGGTCCCACCGTTTTACTGTTGAACAAGCCAGATTCAACCGCAACTTTTATTCTAACAGTATCCTTTCTCAAACTTATCACCCTTGGAACTTCCTCCTGATTTCATGCTTGCCTGCCATCTATAATCTTCAAAAAATAAAATGCTACTCAATCACCATCTTCTGTCTTCCGGACTGTTCATTTATTTCTTTTCCTCGCTAATATTTCTCAATCCCTTTAACTCCCTGTAAACCCTTGCGTGTCAGTGGCATTATAGCCTTGCTTGTAGTAAAAATGATTTAAAAAATTATAGATTATTAAAACGACTAAGGGAAAGTAATCACGCATAAGTTTACTAACTTAAGTTGACTTACCTCCCTTCCCATTACAGGTGGGACAGAAAATATATAAATAGACATCGATAATTATCATATGGCGTGATTATTGAACATATATTAAAAGCCTTCAAGCAGATAAAGTCCGTCTGACCGGAAGTGAACTGGTAAATTAACGTTGAAAAATACAGGCAAATCTCAATGTTTAGACGATTTTCGGAATTTGGCAATATCAACATCCTCATCAGGGTCGTTGCTAATCTTTTCTATTTGTTTTGATGTTATACTGCAGTCAGCAGGTATTGTTGCATTGTTCTGGGGAGGTCCCGCTCGACGGTCTTGATTCCCTCATAACATTGCCTTTTTCTTTCTCGGCTGTTGATCGCCAGTTGTTTTGTTCGGAGTTAAAAGAGAACTTCAACAAAAAAGGTTTTAAACTAATCTATTTTATTAAACACGTCGACGTGTACATTTTGAAGTAGCCAGTGGGGGCGCTCTATCACACCCACTGAGGAGCAAATTCTCCGAGATACGAAATAACCACGTATACTGCGTATGGCATATAAAAAGTTAACTCCCTGAAAACACTTTCTATCTGTCTAACATTTCCACGTTAGTTTTAACCAATCAGAAACGACTTACTTTGTTTTCCTGTATCTGACCTCACAGGTCAAAATGAGGAAGTCAGAGGAAAATACAATTCGTTAAAAAATAATAGTCTACTAGACTATTATTCAACAGTATGGCCATATCATTTGGCATTTATCTTCAGTTGTTTTGAGGATGATTATATATGGTCTTCGGTGTTCAGACTATCAGCCCCATGAGTGACTACACTATAGGTAGTAACTACCTATAAGTATCTGTTAGCCAGCAGACTACAGAGGCTAGCTGCGACCTGTTCCAGCTAAACAGTCGAACTCTCCGCCTTCGGGCAGAGAGGAACCCGGACGAGGCTCCCCGCCGAGAGACAGAGAGGACACGTGAGAACAATGTTTTGTCTTTCTTTAAGGCATGGGCTTCCAGGAATCCCTTCAATGAGTCTACTGGAATCTTTTACAACCTATCCGAGGGCTCCAACTACTACTAGAATTGTTGATGTTCATATGTGCCACATTTTTGAGATTTTGATTTCAAGGTCCTTGTATTTTGATAGTTTTTTGAAGATCTTCAAAGATACATTGCAGTCTGCAGGGACTGCCATATCAATAAGAAGACACTTTTTTGTTTGCGGTGTCTAATAGCAATGTCTGGAAGGTTAGCATTGATTGTTCTGTCAGTATGTATTGTGTAGTCCCATAGAATTGTAACAGGTCCTATCTCCGTAACCGGATCTGGGTGGTGTTCATACCATTTTCTTTCAGTTTCCTTCCCGTAGAAGTTGCAAATTTTCCAGTGCAGATATTGGCCAACTGTGTCATGCCGCGTTTTATATTCATTGGGTGCCAACACCGTACAATCCTGATACAAGATGATCAATCGTTTCTGGATATTTATCACAGAATCTGCGTTTTGGGCTAACACAATATTTTAGTATATGTGCTTGATAATTTCTAGTTAACAAGCATTGGTCTTGTGCAGCAAGGATAAAACCTTCGGTTTCAGCTTTTAACCCTGCACTACGTAGCCACTGATGGGTACGGTGTTCGTCTGCATCAGCTTGTTTGGTACGGGCAGAGTATTGGACATGGAGCAGTTTATCTTGACATTGTTTCTGTATCTAGTCAGTTGCATATTATTATTATTATTATTATTATTATTATTATTATCTATATAATACTAAATGTCTCTGATTCGTGCTTGCGTGGTGCGTCGTCTGTCCGGTGAATAATAATAATTTAAGTTTCTTTCCACCTCTCTCTTTTCACCTCTTGCGTACGTGCTTGTGTGGTGCGTCCGTCCGTTATTTAAGTTAATCTGATTTAAGTGAATAAGATTTAAAAGTACAAGTTGTTTATAGCGTAAGTATTTTTATTTTAACACTTCAAACAAACAATTTTTTAAATTAAAATATTTTAAAATTAAAGACAGACGCAAAGAAATCCAGCTTTGCTGCTTGGTCCAGTTGTTTGTGGATTAATTATTTATATGTTAGCTTTCTTCAAACAAACAATATTTTAAATATTTAAAACATATTTTTAAGTTAATCTGATTTAAAAAAAAATTAAGAGAATAAGATTTAAAAATACGAGTTGTTTATACAGTATTTTAAATTTAACTTTCTTCAAACAGGCAATTTTTTAAGTAAACTATTTTAAAGTTAAAGACAGACACAAAGAAATCCTGCTTTGCCGTTTCATCCAGTTGTTTGTATTTATATTTCAGCTTTCTTTAAACTAACAATAATTTAAATATGTAAAAAAATATTTTTTGAGATATTTAAAAATTTTCAAGTGAATATGATTTAAAATTTTTTTTGGCATGTTAAAAATATCTTTAAATTAATCTGATTTTAAAAATATATTACGTGAATAATATTTAAAAATACAAGTTGCTTATCAAGTATTTTTATTTCAACTTTCTTTAAGCAGAAAATTTTTGAATGTAGAAATCAACTTCAATGTTTTATACCCTGAACCGTCACTGACCCACGGGGTCACGGATGGTCCATTTATTATTATTATTATTATTATTATTAGGAATATACGCACCACTTTAGTGGTCCGCTCGTAAAAAATAGGAATTCAAAAAATATATTTTTGTAGATTAACATTTGTTAGACCATTCTCTATCAAAGACATTTAACCGAATCGAAAAATATTAATTTTTTATCATTTCAGAAAGAGGGTTCTGTTCATAATATGAATACAATGTCAAATCGATCCCCGATTTTTACTGTGTTCAGCTGATAATGTCTTTTTGACCAATATGTAGCAGTATGCAATTATCAAAGACGTAAGCAGTATGTAATTATGAACGAAGTTTGTAAATAAGAACAAAGTACAGGCAACTCTTTAAGAAGTCAGGGATCGATTTGAGACTTTATTTATATTATGAACTGACCCCCCCCCACATCAAAATTATTTTTAAAAATCGATATTTTCTGATCCTGACAAATGTCGTGAGTAGGGAAAGGTGTAATAAAGCTAAAATATTCTTTTTTACATTTACAAACTTTTACTTTAGAAGCCTCAATTTTTTTCTATGTGCCGTGTCCTTTCGGGACGTAGGCAATCATGGCTCTCCACCTCCCTCTATCCCTTGCATCTCTCACCACGTTCCTTCCTTCTGCTACTTCTCACAGACCACGTTCTGTCATCCATTTGCTTAAGGTTTCTGAGTATCTCATGCATTAATGTGCTGTTTTCCCTTGTCTCTCTTTCCCTCTATTCGACTCGTGAGTATCAGATTCTCCAGGCCCTCCTTCCTCATTACGTGTCCCAGATACTTCAGCTGCCTCTTCCTGTTGTTAAGTATAAGCCTTCTACTTGTTTGCATCCTCTCTAAGACCTCATCGTTGCTCACACACTCGATTTATGACATCCTCAGCATCCTTCTGTAGAACCACATCTCCGTCGCCTCGAGTCTCTTCATCTTTGAGGAAAACGTCCAGAATTCGATGCCATAAAGAAGGGCAGACGTCAGGTAAGAGCTAAATATTCTTTTTTTTGTTACCAAAGAAATCCTCCTGTCTCGCAATACTCTGCCCAGCTTTTGGCCATCCCAATACGTCTACGGACCTCAGTGTCGCATTTACCGTCTTTTCTCAGAACGCTTCTCAGATATTTATCCTTCCGCGTCTGCTTGATTCTAGAGTTCCCGAACTGCCTCAATTACCAAACCAGAAAAATATGTGAAATTTTATTGATGCTCATAAATTACATGGTTGATTTCGTTTAGCGGTATTTCAACACCTCAGTGCGTTATTTAACGGCGAAATCTAAATATTTTGAACAAAATCAGATACCTCCAACTATAAATAAAATATATTGTTGGTAATTCTATTATAAAATGCATTGTTGATAATTTTACTTTAAAACTGTATTTTTAAACTCTCATTGTGTTCTATTTGTATGTGGAAAGGTTTATTATTTACCCAAAGCTGGGACCCTAACAGATGCTACCACCCCGAGTCAAAGTGAATCTGGAAACAACAACAATTAAGAGGTAATTCCTGAAAACCTCTAATCTCCAAGACAGAGGCATTGTTGGCGAATGTAGTTTATCTTCATACCCAGGAGTAGGATATAATAATTATATAATTTTTATTACTTAACCCATAGCTAGGGAGAGAAACGCTGAATTCTTTGCCAAGGGTATTTGCGCGTAAGTGAATACAACGAACCCAACTGCAATTAAAACTCGGCTCTCCGATTAAAAAATCCGAGCAAATCACCATTACACCACCCGCACATCCAAGCTTACAGCACTTGGTATTCCCAAGTGGTCACCCATCTAGGTACTGACCAGGTTCGACGTTTGCTTAACTTCGTTGATCAGATGCGACGGATATAGTTTAACCTCAATTGGGTTGTATTAAGAATGGAAAAAATTTTGTCCTTACGAACACACGGCCCAGTGGATAAAAACGTTGTTTGGATCCAGTGACTTGACCCAAAGAGTTGTGAGTTCAATTCCTGGCTACTGCAGTGGTGAACCAAAAACTTGGAGAGCTGAGTTAAAGACAGATAACTGACACACCCAGAAGAGGCATGGCACGTGGAACTAGAACAATCTACACCGATGGACGAAATAAAGGGTTCAGTTCGAATTTCCAGTCAACGGAAGAAGGTCGGAGCGCATAACGGTCGAAACGTCGTGAATATGGCAAGAAAGATGAGGACAAGAGTCCTAACAATGTAAATAAGCTTTGGTTTGTTTGTTTTTGTTTGCCTTTAGATTCTTTTTTATTCTGAATTTATTTTATTATTCGGCGATAATTTCTTTTTTTATTATTTTATTTTAGCCAATATCCTTTCTTTAAATTTATGTTGCGTTAATGATATGCAAATGAGAACACCAGGATGAAATCTCTCGTTCTGATTGGTTCATTTGGCATGGAGTCCTATTAAGCCGTCGGCAATATGGTGATAAGCGACTGGCTTTGACAACTTCCGTGGTATCGAATTCTTTCGCCGCAAGCATTTTGTGGTTAAGGAAAAACAATTAACAGTGCATAAATACTTTCTGGAAAAAAAGGCAGAAATTGGAAGGAAAAAGAAACGATTTAATAATGATGTAACTACACATGGCTTTGTCATGATTAAATTTACATTCACTTTATAACAGGTACCTTGATTATACTACGCATGACAGTGTCCTTTATTGTTTTTTTTTCTCTCTCTCTCTCTCTCTCTCTCTCTCTCTATATATATATATATATATATATATATATATAGATAGATAGATAGATAGATAGATAATGAACAAACTGAGATAGATAATGGAACAGATAGATAGATAGATAGATAGATAGATAGATAGATAGATAGATAATGAACAGACTGAAATATATATATGATGGACTCTACATTATTTACATTATTCGGACTATTGTCCTCATCTTTGTCGCCATATTTATCACAACGTTTCGGCCGTTGCACGCTCCGGCCTTCTTCAGGTGGTTGGAATTTCGAACTGAACCCTTTATTTCGCTCACCGGGGTAGACTGTTCTAGTTCCACGTGCCATGTTTGATGGATGTCAGTTATCAGTTATCTCCTGCTAATTTCCCTCTGAAAGTTCTCCACTGCCTAAACCGGGTATTGAAATCACACTCTTTGAGTCCTGTCACTGGATCTAACCAACGCCTTTATCCACTGTGCCATGTGTCATCTCAGAAATATAGACAGACTATGATGGACTCTCCCGTCGTTTTCGACGTATGATTGTCTTTCAGTTCAGTTTTTATGTTTATGTTTCGTATGAGACAACAATCCTAGTCAGGATTTGCAAACAAATCCACGCGAAGGCCATACTAAAGGGTTGACCATCACATGGGCAGATGTATTAGCCTGAAATTTAGTGAAACGAGTTTATTCCAAAGTTAATTATACCTCGGTAGCAGGTGTTTCTCCAATTTGATCCGTTTTCAACAGCAAGTTCGAACTCCTACATAGGAATGATAGCAGCATTTAAATAGTATTTAAGTTTGTCCTTGAAGCGTAACCAAGGACGACCTACATTACGCTTATCATCAAAAAGTTGGCTATATTTGAGGATTTCGGCATCCGGTCAACACACATTCTGATAACATGACCAGCCCAGCTGATCTGTGATTGCAACAGAAAGGATTCAACACCACCGACGCTACATTTGATGAAAAGACCAGGGTTAGAGATTTGTCCTGCCGTGTATAACGGCATATTGAACGAAGACAACGTTTATGAATAGCATCAGGTTGATTGATGTGAGTCCTGTATGGTGTCCATGTATCTGACTCATAAAGAAGCGTGATGAGATTGACTGCTCGATAGACACATTATCGATTTCAGTGAAATCCCACAAACCTCCCATAGGCGATGCTTGTCCTAAAGGCATTGATTGCCTTTGATATTCGGTTAACTATCCCGTCATCTAAAGAGACAATTGAATTGACTTTTGCTTCCTAAGTAGCTACTATATATATATATATATATATATATATATAATGACACTATATATATATATATATATATATATATATATATATATATATACTGACTTTGCTTCGTAAGTATTACTATATATATATATATATATATATATATATATATATATATATATATATATATATATAATGACACTATATATATATATATATATATATATATATATATATGACTTTTGTTTCTTAAGTAGCCATATATATATATATATATATATATATATATATATATCATACTTATTATAAAACCCAGGTTTGTGTGTGTGTTTATATATTGATCGGATTTCCTACATTTTTCAAACCGATTTCAACAAAGCTTCACAGGACTACGTAAAATTACCTTGTGGTGGTTCTGATAGTGCCAAAATTGGAAAAACACAATTGTTTTTGCATGAAATCAATTTGAAAAACACGATTAGAGGCATCGCTGTCGCGTGAATGAAAGGGGGACAACTCATATCGAGTTATACTTATTATAAAACACAGGTTGTTTGTGTGTGTGTGTGTTCGTTTATACATTTTTCAACCGATTTCAACAAAACTTCACTTTTGGCAGGTAGTGTTTCTTATTGTCTTGTACACTTTTTTCTATATTTTTACATTCAGAATGCTTTAAAAATTCCATTTACAAGACACTTGTTTATAATAAAATTCTATTCAATCGGTAGAGACTCATAACGATTGAAAACAATGTTTTTGTTTGAGTTTGGGTTTGACCAATTCGTAAAAAAACAAAAAAAACTAATTAAGACATGCGTGTCTGTCAACCTTAAACAATAATCTTTGTCAATTTTATTTTTCAGTCTTTATGATGGTCGATACTTGATCTCTTACTGTTACATACCCGGGCAACGCCGGGCTCTACTGCTAGTATATATATATATATATATATATATATATATATATATATATATATATATAGTGGCTACTTAGGAAGCAGAGTCAAGTGGCTGACAATTGCGTCTAGCATGAAACAGACTGTCGCCTCTAAGTGTTGACTTCTATGTTCACTTTTATATTTACACACGCTCTACCTCTGACATTGAGCACTTTATCCCATAAATATAGCACATCTTAAGACTATACTTTTTTATATATATATATATATATATATATATATATATATATATGTGTGTGTGTGTGTGTGTGTGTGTAGTGGCTGGCCACTCGTATCAGATGCCCGTCTACTAGGGCAGCTAGCCAGTCCCTGTCGCAGACGCCTGCTCAGGCACATTTGTGCTTATTCAACATCCACAAAGCCCTCCTGTGGTTTATACTGCAACTATGTTGAGAGGACCTCAGTTACAGTTTTGGGAGAGAAGCGTGTTATGTGGCATGATCAACAATCTGAACAAGGCCAATACACTCAAACCCTCGGCCATGACGACTTGTGACTTCGTGCTAGCGCAAACACCCTAACCCTAACCCTAACCATCCCAAAGGGTTCCGAATTTCACTCACAAACTCCCATCAGTATTGAAAAGAGCGATAACATTTATTGTATTTGAGAAACCTGTTTTCCTGAAAAGAATTTTACAGAAAGATTTTATAAATTTCAACTGACTGTAATACTAGTTGCGGTCAATAAATGCTGAGTGTTTCCTTATAAGGAAACGGCTAATATTACCATTACCATATAGAGTGAAATTAAATGACAATATTAAAAAAATGTAATGCGTTTTGTCTTTTAAAAAAGACATTAATACTTAAAATCCGAAAATGACAGTTGAGATTTCTAGAACACATAACGAGGAAAGAAGGCTTGGAGAAGTTGACACTCACAGGACATATTGAAGGCAGGAAGGATAGAGAAAAACAACGAGTTCCCGACTTAACGAATTCATGTAAAGGAACAATCATAAAGCTACAATGGATAGGAAGTTGTGGATGGCCATAATCGTCCACACTCTGAAGGGACACAACGAATAAAAAGGAGTTCTTTTTACATTTATTAATGGTCCACTTCACTTGTTCTACAAATATTTATTAGAGCTACAAATGATAGGAAATTGTGGAGTGCCATAATCGTCCACACCACGAAGAGACAAAGCGAATAAAAAAGAGTCCTTTTATATTTATTAGTGGTCCATTTAAGTTGTCCTCCAAATATTTTTTAGAGCTACAAATGATTGGAAGTTGTGGAGTGCCATGATCGCTCACATCATGAAGGGAGACGGCCAATGAAAGAATCCGACAGAAATACCATGGTAACACTAAGTAACCGTTTTCTTATAAAGAAACCTTCAGCAATCATTGACCGAGCAGCCATTGATACTGTCGTTTGAAATTTATAAAATCTTTCTGTTAAAGCGGTTTTTCAGAAAAATAGGATTTTCACGTCTAGTAGCTGTTATTTCTCTTTCCAGTATTGACGGATGTTCATTTATTGTTTTTTGTTTTGAGTGTGGAACATCAACATCTTGATTATTTCATGACTTTCTCTTTGAATTACTTGTGCTCTCCATTTTAGTTGTTGCTGTTGTTGGAATTCCTCAAGTGATGCGATTCCTATTATTTCGTACAGTAGTCTGTTTGTGATTCTGTAGCGCCAGTCCATGAGCTTCGAAAAGTTGCCACTAAGACCTACAAGCTTCATTCAATGGAAGCCATTTTTAATCATTGATCTTAGAAAGCGGTTATATAAAAATTACATTTTAGATACTTCTGAACGAGATTGGCACTATGCATGACATCCATATGAAAGTGTAGAAAATTGAACAGCTTAAATTCAATTCCTATTATTTTTACTTTCAACAAATGTACCAAGAAACAATAACCAACAGTAGAAATAATACAAAAACAGTTTTTGAATAACAAACAATATTTTGATTTATATAGCATAAAATATCCAATGCATTCTGCTGAAATAAGTAAAGATTTGTGAGTGAAATCTTTGTGATGTTTGTTATTTTAATTATGTGTGCAAACTCTTATTTTGATATTTAGAATTATGGTATGCGAGTTTACTTAAGAAATATTTGTCGGAATTATGCTGATGTAAATTTCACAGAGTTAGTGAAAGAATAATTCTGTTTATGAGGTAATTAAACAGTTTTTATGAAATATAAATTTCCAGTGTAAATTGGAAAAAAAAACTTAATTGTTCTAGAGTTGTCTTCCTTTGACCATAATGTTGTCAAGAGGTAAATAAATTCTGGATGAAATAATGTTCTCTAATTAAGAACATTTGCTATGTAATAACAATGTTCTGTGATAGAAAAGTTTACTGTGTAATAATAACGTTCTGTGATTTAGATGTTAATTCACTTGCAGGAATGAACAAAATCTGCTGTATGAAAGAGTTGAGTGAGTGAATGTTCTAGAAGCCGAGATTATGTTAATGAGTAACTTTTATTCTTAGAATGTTTAACGTAGTTTTTAGTCGGTGATTGGTTGCTGTCACGATGCTCTTTAGAAGATGATTTCGTTACCGAAAAGTTCTTTGCTTTGTTTAAATTAAATTGCAATGTTTATTCACTAGCAACAATGATTTTGAGCTGCTGGGTGAATGGATTGATGAGGAAGTGAAATTTCTGGAAGTTGTTATATGTTCGCAAGTAACTTTGAAAATTTCAAAGGAAATGACATAGGTTCGTGTAGCAAATACTTTGAAGTCACAATGTTCACTGGCGAGATTGGCTGATGTACCATATTTATTTACTTGTTAATCACGTAATAGGCTCCAGAATACGTTCTCTAAATTTTGGCGGTTCTCTGGTTTGAACACTTGTGAATAGGCGTAAATATGAACTTGGTATTAATAAACCAATCAGAATAAGTCAGTTGCTGAAACTTGGTTTGGATCCTCTATGTGTTTAGCTTGCACAAGATTTTAGAACTTTTTTTCGTGAAGATACACAAAATACAATTTTAATATTTATTGTTCAATCGGGAGAGTGTTAAATAACAGAATTATGGAAATTAGATGTGATTCACTGAAATGTAGAAGTTAGATTCTACAAAAGTATCGTAAACTTTACTGAAAGAGAAAGTCGGTCGATTATATCTGATAAAATACACAAATTTCTTGAGGATTTGTAAAAAAAAAAAAATGATTTTTAAAAATAACCGTTTTTTTAAAATTCTTTTTTCATTTTAATAGAATAATTAAACCTGATCGATTTGCACAAAGAAGCACAACTTTTGAGGGGTGAAAAGCTGCTGCAAATATTACAGATCATCAGCCATTTTTATGTCCCGTTTTAAATCTAATGCAGGGTGACGTAACCAAATACGACGCATACAATCGATCGATCGATTTATAAGTCGACAGGAAACAGATGGCAGCACATCGCTAGTCGTAAAAGGTCATCGGAGAAGTGATAGAAATTAAAATCTGATGAAATAACATTCATTTGTAGTAAAAGAAACATAGCTTTGTTACGTACTATTTTTAAGTTTCGTAGATATAATTAAAAACTCTTAAATTATTAAATGTATTCATCAAAAATCATCCAGAAGAATTATTGAATCCGCCTTATTAAGACTCACTTTGATTAAGCAAAAAGTTGGCTTTTATAATATATTATCTTTTCTGATAATAGTTAAAGAAAATAATATGAAAATAGATATTAAGTTAAACATCCCAAGATTTTAATTGTTTTTTTTCCTAATACTTAAATAATTTATAAACATAAATTATGTTTAATCATAAATATTCACATTTTTTTGGTAAAGAGCTTCATAGTGATTTTCCAAGCGTAGCTTAGATATGTGGCACAAGGCCGAGAGTACGGGGCACCCAGTGAGGATCGAACGAGCTTCATAGTAATACGATTTCGGTAGTGTCTTAGGTTAACGAATTCTGGTCAAAATTTGGTTTATGGTTTATTTTGTTTTACGGCATATCAACACGTCAATGAGTTACTGAAAAGATTGTTAGGTATGTTCATAGGAATAGAATATGCATTCTTTGTAAGAAATCAGTTTGTAGATCAGGTTTCATTGACATTTTTTTTTTTTTGTAAAGAGGGTTTTTGTCAAGAGTCAAATCTATCGCTGGTAATATTATGTTTCTTTGCAAAAATATATTGCTGATAATATTTTTTTCTTCAAAAATGTATTGCTGGTATTTTTACTATAAAAATGTATTTTTTATTCTTTCACAGTGTTTTCACTCAGCTGGGACAGTAATAGGAACTATCACCCCGGGGCCAAGGTGGACCAGGGAACAACAGCAATTAAGAGGTGGTTCCACGTTCCTCAAAACCTCTTAATAAGAGGCCTTGCTGCCGGATGTAGTTGATTGTCATACCCAGGACGTTCTGGTCAAAGTCCAGTGTCTAATTTGTTTGCTAACACCTGCTCTTCAAGTAGACACCTGGGATTTTATTGGAATTTCTGAGACAATCATTATTTACACTGTTTTTAATCAGTCTGTTATCCCTATCTTTGTTGTTGTTATCACAATGTTTCAGCCGTTGTGCCCTGTACCCTTCCTCAGATGTATATTGATCTGGGTAACCTACAGGGAAATCTGAATTGAACCGTTTATTTAATCTACGGTCGGATAGACTGTTCTCGTTTCACTACCCACATCTCGGGAAATCTCGTTCTAGTTCTTATTTTTAGAACTGCTCAGTTATTGCTCATCCGTTTCTGTTGAGTTTCAAGTACACATTGCCTGACACAGGGACTGAACTCAAAACCATTATGTCACCAAATTCACCAACAAACGCTTTAATCCACTAGGACATTTTCTGCAATGGACTTGGAGCCTTAAACCTAACTTACCTGCTTATTAATGTTGCTGCTGCGGGTGAAAACTTGCTTCTACTTGTCCTTCCTTCTTTATTAACGGCTCCTATATTGTATTTATTTCCAGTCTAGTCCTACTAATTCAATATATATATTTATATATGTGTTGGGATCAAATACAGATCAAATATGGATCAGAATCCGACAGAATGATGAGATAAAAAACAAAAACAAATAGGAAATGTTTATCAATCTATCATGTTTCTCTTTTATTAACGCTTTATCAGAGAATCATATATTTTAATTCTGTGTTGTTTGATTTTCATTCTTTAATCAAGTTTCACATACATTTGACTTGTTAATCTTTTGGTAATTCAAACGGATGCTTTGTCTCGCCTTAATCTTGTAATGCCATAAATTATTCTAGCCTTTGTTTAACAAGTACAATATATTAAAAATATAATATAATACAAATAAAATTTGTTTTTTTGTTTGATATAATATTCAGATATGTGATAGGATAAAAACAAATATATATATATATATATATATATATATATATATATATATATATATATATATATATATATTAAAAAGAAGAGGGTGCCGCAAACGTTTTTGGTTGTAATGTGGATTTATTGAGAAAAATATTATACTTTGTTTTACATAATTTCACGACACGTGTTTCTGGTCTGGTCGGATTGCCAACACACAAACAGAATGTCTCATATCGAGAATATTCCACATTGAACATGAAGAAAAATTAATTATTTTTAATAATATGTAAAAATCTCCACTTTCACCTGAAGACGGTTGCGAGACCAGACCAGAAACACGTGTCGTGAAATTATATAAAACAAAGTATAATATTTTTTCAATAAATCCACATTACAATAAAAAAACGTTTGCGGCACCCCTCTTCTTTTTAATATACATACTTTTCTCTCGTTGGAACCACTACAACATATTTTATATATATATATATATATATATATATATATATATATATATGTATATATAAGGCTGTTTGATGATTGTGTGCATGCACATGAAACTGATAGTAGTGGCCAGTCACTGCCAACCTGGTTTTTAATTAACACACACACACACACACACACACATATATATATATATATATATATATATATATATATATATATATATATATATATATTATTTAATTCCCAGATGAATTCTGTGGACAAGACAGATTGGTATCAAATGACAATTGAAAAAAATCATACATTTTGCCGACGCGTTTCGTCTTCCGACTTTTTCAAGGCAAAAATGAAATCGAAATGTTTTTGTTGTTATAGTTAATGTAACTATTTTTTAATATTTTTTTTCTATAGTTAATGCAACTGTTTTCGTTGTTATAGTTCATGTAACTATAACAACAAAACATTTCGATTTCATGCCTTGAAAAAGTCGGAAGACGAAACGCGAAAAAAATGTATAATTTTTTCCCAATTGTCATTTGATACCATATATATATATATATATATATATATATATATATATATATATATATATATATATATATATATATATAGGCACATTTCATTGAATGCGACAGACAAGGTGCTTTTATTTAGTTTTTTATACAATTTCTCATACGATCTAATAATTTTTTTCTTTTCAGATGATAAATTATATAAAAACTGTCCGAATGTTCTTTTTATCCAAGGGCTTTTGGCTATACATTTAGCCATTTTCAAGGATATTTTAATATAATATTTTAACTGTTAAATAAGAAATAGTTTATTGTATGTATGTTTTATAATTATATAGGCCACACTACAGCATGTTTGACACGCAGATTCACTCAACACCTTTCTGACCATAACACAACTAGATATCATTTAGATATTCATGGAGACCTACCAGACACTATTCGTAACATACGGGTGGACAACACTAATATAATAAGATCATCTACATGTAAAAAAAACGGCTAAAAATAATGGAAGCCTTATTAGTAAAAAAAAAAAACAACACCTAATAATATTAACTTTGAACATGGGTATAATATCTTGACCGTGTTTTGAAAAATGAAAACATTTTATAAAACATACAGCTAAAGAATAATTAGGAAACGTTTATCAATTTAACATGTTTCACTTTTATTAAAGCTTCATCAGAGAATGAAATATGGAGAAAAAGAAAAGAGAAATTCTAATATTTTTACTTTTATCTTTGATTTTTATTGGTCAATCATGTTTCAAATATATTCGTCTCTTTTGTGTCAACGTTAGTATAATTTATGGTTTATGTATTTATATATATATTTATATGCTCAAGAGCGACTCAAAATAGAGGCTTATTGAATACGGTTGTTCTAGGGACATAAGTAAGTTCAGATTATAAGGAACTGTTGGATAGATAACATTTGATAATAGATTTAAAGAGGTTAAGATTGTAGTGATTAGGGAAGCATCCTTTTGGGAGCCCACAAAGTAGTGATTCTCAAGTAGAAGCCGTTTGAGTGGAACGTCTTCATTCCCACTAGAATGCAATGAAAATAAGGGTGTTTTGATCCTGTATCTATGGCATATATACTTGGACGGCCATGGGGGTCTGAGTTGGGCATCAGGAAGAGCATTTGACCCTGTCAAACCTTGCCTCAAGGCATTATGACAACTCCTCTCTCAGGACCCACCTTGGCTTTATGTGAGATTAATCCTGGTCCTTTCTTAAGAAACAAATATGACCCTGTATGAATTGGGGTCAAATTTAGATCGGAATCAGACAATTAAAATTGATACTTGATAAAAATTAAAATATAACTGACGAATTATTTACATGCAGACTACCGTCCTCATCTTTGTTGTTATCACAATATTCCAGCCATTGTGTCTTCCAGCCTTCATCATATATATATATATATATATATATATATATATATATATATGATTTTCTAAGCATAGCTTAGATGTGGCACAAAGCCAAAAGTATGGAGCACCCAGTGAGGATCTAACTCACAATTCAGTCATAAATGATCTTGCTAACCATTACATCATGTCAAAGTGAAGTCTAGGATAAGGTATTGTAGTGAAAGAGATAATCAGGTACCCCGGAAAAAAGTTCGTGTTTTGTGTGCGATCTGCCGAAGAAAAACCAAACAACAGCGCGTCGCGTGTATTCTACGACGGAAAAAGAAACAAATCCGTCGCTGGAGTCGCTATAAGAGTATTTTGATATGCAAATGACGGAGCATCCTATCCCAGCTGTCGACGAATGAAAAAAAATAGGTTCTGCCGATAAAAGCAGTTGGTGTTCTCGATTCGGAGGAGGGAAATTCGGGCATTTTTGGCTTCGGCGTTTGTTAGTGGGTGAGTTATTTTCCTGACTGGTTACACGCATTGTGATTCGAGATAGTACCGGCGAATCGAGTTTTCAACATTTCTTTCTGCCTCCGATATTCGAGTCTGTACTTACAGTGATTTTTCTTTGTGTTGTGGAAGTAATCTGCGACAAATACTTC